CCCCCCCCCCCAAAAAAACCCCACCAGAAAACAAAAAGCCGTAAGAACTCTATTATGAGATACAGTGAAAAGGTCTACTATGTGTACCAGTGGAGTTGCTAGAATGGGAGAAGGGACAGAATGAGACCAAATCAATATTTGAATATATTAGAGGTTGAAAATTTTTCAAAATTTTACCAAAGATTTCCAATTGAAATTCTATAACCCCAATATGTCCTATATGAAATTAAAAGTTGAGAAGTTTTTCTGTTATCTAGGAAGTGGCAAAAATAATCACCTATACTCCACAGTCACATGTTATATCATAATCTGTAGGTTAACCACTAAAAAAATAGTGTCTAGATGTACAACTGACAAGCAATAGGGTGAAAATTGCAATTATAAAACATAATGTAGGCCAGGGATTTAGCTCAGTGGTTCTGCCGCCTGCCTTGCAAACACAAGGACCCGAGTTCAATCCCTGTACAAAAACCCCCAAAAAATAGTGTAGAAAAAAGCAAGAGAGAAGATAGAAAAAAGCAAGAGAGAAGATAGAACAAGTGAAAAATAGGTTATAAACTTATACACAAATATATTAGTAAATACATTTAATGTAAATAGATTTTAAAAATCCAACTAAAAGATAACAGCTGTCAGACTGGGCTAAAGAAAAAGTTATATGCTCCTTTTAAGAAACACTTCTAGGGGTGAGGGTGTAGCACAGTGGTAGAGCACATGCTTACCATGCACAGTGTGCTGGATTCAACAGAAACACATCTGAGATATAAGGACATAGGTAGAAAGTAAATAGAAAAGGCTATATTATGCAGTTATTCAAACATGCCCCAAAGAGGCTGATATAGCTGTAGTAAGACCAAATAAAGTCTCATGTATGCTAGGCAAGCATTCTATCACTGAACTACATCCTCTCTTATTTTGAAGTAGGGTCTGAAAAAAAGTTGTCCTGGCTCGCTTGGAACTTGCGATCCTCTTCCCTCAGCCTCCCAAATAGTGGGATTATAGTTATGTGCCACTGTGCCTGGCAAGAGAATTATTTTGTAATAAGATTATTCTACCTGGAATATGTAGTAATTCTACATAGAACTGCATCTAACTACATAGTTTCAAAATGTATAAAGCAAGAATGGTATAATTAAAGGAAATAGACAAATCTGTAGTCATAGTGGAAAATGTTTAATGTACCTCTCTCAGTCCATGATAGGACAGACCCCCACCTCAATCAACAAAGATGTAGAAAACCTGAACAAATCATTGGCAAACTTAACCCAAATGTCATACTGTGGAATGATAGACCTATAAATGTTAGTATGTATGTTATTTTCAAGTGTACATGGGTCACTTGCCAAAACTGGCTAGATCATGGGCCATAAAGCAAGTCCCAACACATTTTACATGACTGAAATCATTTTTTTCCGATCATAGTAGAATTAAGTTAGAAACCAATTATTAAAACATAAAGAGATCATAGTAGAATTAAGTATCATAGTAGAATTTATGATCATAGTAGAATTAAGTGGTGGCGCATGCCTGTAATTCTAGAAGTCAGGAGGTTGAGGCAGGAGAATCTCCATGAGTTGGAGGCCAGCCTAGGCTACATAGTTTGAGGCCAGCCTGAACTACCTGGTGAGACCCTGTCTCAAAAACAAGGGCTGGGGATTTAGCTCAGTGGTTCCGCTGCCTGCCTCGCAAGTGCAAGGACCCGAGTTCAATCCCTGGTACCAAAAAAAAAAAAAAAACTAAAAAGAAAACTTTCAAATATTTGAAAATTAAACCCTGTATGTTTTATTCTCTTTTGTTCTTTTTGGTGCTGGGGTTGAACACAGGGCTTCACACGTGCTAAGCACATGCTCTGGCACTGAGCTACATGCCCAGTCTGTATGTTTTATTTTACTTTTTTATTTTATTTTATGTTATTATATTTTATTTTATTTTTTGAGACACGGTCTTGCTATGTAGTCCAGGCTGGCCTTGGACTCACTGTGGAGCTCAGGCTGGTTTCAAACTCATGGTAATCCTCCTGCCTCAGCTGCCCAAACGTTGGGATTATAAGCATGCACCACCATGCCTGGCTTGTATGTTTTAAAGTAGTATCAGTTTAGGGAAGAAATGTAATGTCAGTAGGAATTAGAATATATTTTCAGATGAATGATATTGAAAAAAGCCCAGCATATCAAAACTTGTATAATTCTGCTAAGCCATACTCAGAAGAAAATTTGTTGCCTTTAATAATAAAAAACAAAATATTATGCACAACCTTCTGTTACTGAGACAAAAATTTACATGAAATGGACAAATTCCTAGAAAAACTAATCTAAACTGATAAAAAATGCAGCAAATTTAAATAGTTTTATTTGTGAAAGAAATTGAATCTGAAATTTAAATCTTAAAAAAAGCTCAGGCCAAGATGGCTTCATAATAAGGGACTTTTCTCAAATCTTTGAGCAAGAATTAAATTACCAGAGAATAGAAGGAAAAACATTTCCCAGTTCATTTTTTTTTTTTTTTTGGTTCAGCAATCTTGGTCCCTTGTGGAATTCCCCTTAACTATCAATCGGGTATGTGTCATAGAACTACAATTGGGCTGGGGATTTAACTCAGTGGCGCCTTGCCTGCCTTGCAATCATGAGGTCCTGAGTTCGACCCCTGGTACCAAAAAAAAAAAGAACTAAAATTAACCTCATGACTTACTATATAAACAGTTCCTAAGCACATATACATTTTTTGAGCCAGGGTCATGCTATATTCTCTAGCCTGGCCTTGAACTCCTGAACTCAGGCAAAATCTACTAGATTTAAGCAATCTTCCTGCCTCAGCTTCCTGAGTAGTAGAAATATAGTCATGCATCACCATTCTAGACTAAACAGATATTTAATACACATCAGAGTTGTTTATTCTCTTTACTCAATTCAACAAATAGTACCAGTGGGATAAAATGACCCAGGGCACTAAAATTATTCTCTCTCATATGTACATTGGCCAATTAGCATAGGACAGTATTCTAAGAAGGAAAACAGATGAATCGTTTTTTCCCCTACTCCCAACTCAGAAAAGTGATAATTCATAGTAAGGTGGGGTTTTCTTGTTTTTTGTTGTTGTTTTAGTAAGGTTTAACTTAATTTCCTTGCATGTTTATTTTTTTCCTACAGACTCCATTAATAATATACCTCTTCCATTTCCTAATTGACTATGCTGAATTGGTATTTATGGTAAGTAACTTTCAGATAAAATTATTAATTTTACAGCTTGTTTTTAAGAAAAAATCTATCTTAGTAATTTGGGAACTCTCAAAAATAAAAGCAAAAACATATCTTTAGTTTGAAATTGTGGGACTATGGTAGTATGATAGAAATGTGAGGAAAAGTTTCTGACTTTTGGCTGATTTCTGATTCCTTATTCTGTAGAATATTGTTTCTGGACTATATAGTCTTGAATTTTCTGACGAGATTCTGTGATTGGCTTTAATTGTGTCAGTGTGGGACATCCTGAGTTTCCCGAGTGCTCTGCCAAGAGAGTCTGTAAAGAGGACATAGGCCTGATGAGACTTTCAGGGACAAGAGTCTTGAAATGGAGTTGACTGGGCTATATTTTGGAGGCTGAAAGTCTAGGGTTGAAGAATGTGGGTCAGTGGGCTGGGGATTTAGCTCAGTGGTTCCACTGCCTGCCTCACAAGCACAAGGTCCCGAGTTTGATCCCTGGTACAAAAAAACAAAAGAATGTGGGTCAAGAAATACCCAGAAAGCCTGTAGGGTCTTCCTTAATAATTATAATAGCTGCTATTTATTGAAGACTTACTCTGTGCTAGGCACTGGCCATATATGAGGGTTGTAAAACAGTGGATATTATTCCCATTTTACAGAAAACGTGGGGAACTTGCAATTCTAGAGCATATGTGGGACACCAGATTGAAGTGGCCTTGATAGATGGTTATTATCTTCAGAGTTTTCCAGTAAGGCCTTGCTGAATGGCTCTTGCGTTTGAGTAGTCAAACCAAACTGGGGGCTAACATTCATTTGGACTGGGTGGTCTGCTACCAATCCCAGAACTCTGGGGCCTGGCAGCACTTCTTTACTCTTGCACTAACAGAGTTCTGTTTCCTATTACTTGTCTTCCTTTTGACAGATAACTGATGTACTCACTGCTGTTGCCCTGTATTTTGCAATCCAGGACTTCAATAAAGTTGTGGTAAGTAGTTAGTGGGTGGGACAAAGCTGATGGAATTTGGTAACCCGTTGTTCTTAGTTACTGTAGGGAATCAAAGATCACTACTTAAGAATACAACTGCTTTAAAATGCTCAGAAGTGGGAGTGAAACTTCTGGTGGTTCAGCCAGCCCTGGAATGACAAGCCTGTACCCACAGGCAGCTCTACTAGTCCACACAGAAAGGTCAGTTTAATCTGGGTAGCTTACTATAGTCACACAGCTGCTTAAGTTGAGACTTTCTAGAACAGAGTTGAATGACAGTGGTGTTAATGAGGTCCCTTAAAAAACCTTTCATTCCTTTCACCAGTTTTTCCTTTCAAGCAAAATGAATGGAGCTTTTAACCCACTGTGTTAGGGTTATGTGATGTAAAATTGGATCCCCAAATATTGATTCTGTTTCCCTGCAGAGTGATTTATTTTTTGTGGTGCTGGGGATTGAACCTAGGGCCTCTGCATGCTAGACAAGTGCTCTATCACTGAACTGCACCCCAGGCCCGAAAGAATAATTTTAACTAGAAACTTCGGCATGTATTAAATGTCCGGTGAAAGTATTGATATAAGCCTTAGTCTTAATCCATATGTAATAGCCAAAGGGAATTGTATAGTGGAACTATCCTCCTTTTCCTGGGTTTTGAGAGTTAACAGATTAACCATGTGTACTATTCATGTAGTTATATTAAAAAATATATATATAATATAT